GCAGCTGGGCTGGGAGGAGGAAGCTGCGGGAGACATGAGGTCAGTGTGGGGCTGGGACCCGGCCAAGGGCTGAGTCGCTCTTTCTTCCCCTTCTCCCCATCAGCAGGGACAGAACCCAAAAGAGCCTAGTTCCCAGACTTAAAAAAAAAAAAAAAACCCACGACCTATTCTCCACCCCTGGCCTTTCCACCCTGAGCCCTGGGAGGTTCCAGTACGCAGGGCAGGGGCAGAGTCCTGAACTCTACCAGGCTGGGCTGGAGGGGGCGGGCCCGGGACAGCTGGAGCTGGGAAGGCTGGGGATTGCCACCCTGCCACGAAGTCTCCGTTCCTCTCTCTTGACAATATCTGAGCCCCCGGGGTGCGGCAGGCAGGGTGCAGGGTTCTCAGGCCACCGCAGCTCGGGGGTTGCCCCCTCCCACACCTAGTGGCTCCCAGGAAGGCGCCATCATTGGCTTCCTCCCGACCTCATGGGCCGCAGACCCCCACGCCCACAAGGCCTCTGAAGCACCACTTCCTTTGCCTGTGCTCATTTCACAGGATGCTCTGCCTAAGTGCCAGCCTCCCCCACTTGCAGACACCCACCGAGACCCACCCGGGGCCTCTTGGTCCCTTCAGCCCCGCTTCAGGACTGTGGGGGTTTCCACAAGGGAAATAAAAAAAAAAAGACGTTAGGGAGGAAACTCCGGCCTGGCTTTTCCACTGTGCCTACGGTGGAGCTAGAGTAGGGCACTAGGCCTAGAGTAGGGCCCAAGGCATTCCAGCATCTGGCCCTGGCAAAATCCCCCAACTCCACCTCTTCTCCTCACCCCCACTGTGGGGAAAGAGGTCCATGAACTTGACCCGAGCAGGTTTTACTCAGAAACTACCCAGGCCCGTCAGCCAAAGCAGGCACAAGACAGGAGGGCCTAAGGTAGGGTAGGAGGCTCCAGTATTTTTTTGTTTTGTTTTGATTGGGGGCCACACCCGGCTGGGCTCAGGGCTTACTCTTGGCTCTATGCTCAGGAACCACTCCTGGAGGGCTCTGGAGGCCCATATGAAGTGTTGCGGATGGAACCCGGGTTGACTGCATGCAAAGCAAGCGTCCCACTGGCTGTACTATGGCGCCAGGCACGCCTTCAGTGTTCTTATTTTCGCTGCTCTGTGGGCTGAATTACAACCCTCTAATGCTGAAGCTGCACCAGTGGAGACAAGCTGACCAGACCTGCACAGAGCTGTAATGGGAGCAAACCCCGGACTAAGGGCTCAGACATCACTTCCACAAAGAGGTGACCATGTCAGTCAGACCAGGGACTGAGCCCATCGTTCCCTCTCACTTCACTCGGGGTGACCATCCCGAGGTGCATTCCTTCAGGAAGTGGGCCACAGGGGTGAGGCTGACATCTTAGAGCCTCCCAGGCCCTCATAACTAGCCCACACTTGGGTGTCCACCAGTAAGAATCTGACGCTGCTGGACCGACAGCCACCCTGGCCCCGCCCTCGCGGAGGAACTCCTCTCCTGGGGAGATGCCCTCCCCCATGAAATGAGGACAAAAGAGGAAGCTAGACCCTGGACAGGAAAACCAATCTGCTCTGGGGAGGTGGCCCAGGCTTTGTCTTTAGTTTCCCTCCTTGTGAACCCCACCCCCACCCGAAGCCTCACCACTAAAGGATCTATCCTGTGTATGGAAAGAGCCAGCCCCCTCCCCCCTACATCTTCCCAGTTGCCCAGTTACCAGCAACTACCCTACCCATACATTATCTCCCCCCCAACTGTCTCTCAAGAGGCACAGAGTCTCAAATCTTCCTACTCAACAACCTCCTAAAAGCTCACATAAGTCTTACCGGCCCAGAAACAACTCTCTGTATCCTAGATTACCAGCTAGGATCTGTGGTCACCTCACATCAGTTCCCCCACCCCACGCCTTTTTTTTTTTTGAGGGGAGGGGGTGTCACGCCCTGTGATGCTCACAGGTTTTTCCCGGAGGTGCACAGGTGGGCCTATGGGATACTGGGGATTGAACCCAGGTCAGCTGCGTGCAAGGCAAACGCCCTACCCACTGTGCTACTCACTCTGTCCCCCTCTTCGCCCCGTTTTTTGCTTTTTTGGGCCACATCCAACTGTGCTTCAGGCTCTGTGCTCAGGGATCACTCCTGGCAGGGCTGGGGGGACTATATCATATGTGGTGGCAGGAGACGAACCTGAGTGGGCTGTGTGCAAGGCAAGCGCCCTTCTCTCCATACTATCTCTCCAGCCCTTGCCCCTTCATTTTTTAAATTTTTTTAAAATTTGGGGGCCATACCTGACAGTGCTCAGGGCTTACTCCTGGCTTTGCACTCAGGGATCTTTCCTGGTTGGCTCAGGGGACCCTGTGGGGGGAGGGGAGTTAAATGCTGGTCGGCTGAGTGCAAGGCAAGCATCTTACCTACTGTCCTATCTTTCCTGCCTAGTCCCTTTTTTTTTTTTTTATTTTGGCCACACCAGATGGTGCTCATTCTCCTAAATAGCCTTGATGGGTCTCATTCTCATTCTCATTCTCCTAAATAGCCTTGAATATAATCTCAGGGCTAGGATGAAAGAGACGTTACTGGGGCCTGCTCCAGGCAATCGACGAATAACAGGATGATGAAATGAAAAAAAATGAAGATGGTGCTGGGGGCTACTCCCTGCTAGTGCCTGGAGTCCATGCATGAAGCAGGATGGAACCTGGGCTTCTGCATGCAAAACCTGCGCTCAGCCTGCTGAGCTATTTCCCCACCTCATCCTTCTTCTCATGTCATGATCGCAAATGTCTCTTTGGCCAAGACCTCAACAGCAACCTCCTAGGTTGCAAGCACCATCCCACATTGCTTCTTGATATTTTCTCATTTAGATCCCCTCCCCCATCATGTATTTCCGGCAAGAACTTTCTTGCAAATAGCTCCTGCCTCTGAGCAGACCAGATCTTCCCTGAGAAAACCCTGTCTCATCCATCCCATTTTCACCTCCAGAGCCCTACGGGTCACACTCAGTTTATGCAGAATCCTAAAACCGGGACTGATATGACAACTGAAAGTCAGGTCTCCTGGGTGTGTAGGTTTGATTTTTACTGAGCCATGATGCCAAGAAAGTGCCTTGGATGCACATTCTTCTCCAAGCTGGGATTTTATGCAGGTCCCTGGGACTTCTTCCTGGGGCTGATCTGTCTCTTCCAGTAATGAGGTGAGACAGGTGGGCAGCACTGGAAGGAGAGACTATTCCTAGGAGTGGAGATATCCGGGGTGTGGGAGCAGGACAGACTGGGGGCTGAGGAGCACTCTTCACCTAGCTGTACCCGAGATCACCTGCTCCTCTAACTTCAATTGTAATCAAGTTAGTTCCAATGCAGGAAAATGTGGCAATTCAGGGTATGATGCAAGGATCTCTACCCCCTCTTTCCCTGCCTCTCTCGGGGCTTGCCCAGACTGAGTATGCCCAGCCACATCAGAGTGTCGACAGCCAGGAGGCTCTCTGGTGTTCTGCTCACACCACTGACTTCCAGCTTCCTTAATCTCCGCCTCTCGCCTGGAACCCTGTGCCCCCTCCTCAGGAGAAGGCCCAAGGGGCTGAAGCACATGCTCTGCATGCAGAGGCCCAAGTTCAAGCGCAGCACTGCACGGCCCCCCTGGTGGCCCCCAGCACTGCTGGGTGTGGCCCTGGTGGCCCCTGGCACCACCAGGCCCCAGTACTGAACTGTCAGGCCCGCAGAACAGGACTGAGTTTCCCGGGAGCGCGCCCCTCCCCCCTGCCCCATCCCCCTGAGACTACTTGGAAGCAATCCACCCAGGCACTAAACAACAGCAACAAAGTGATGTTGGACCAGTTACAGTCTGCCCGCCAGAATCCCCCTTTCTTTGCATCCATCGCACTGAACTAAGCAGGTGTCATGCTCCCTGGCTCCCCACTCCAGGGGATGCTGGAAGCACAGCAAGCTATGCCCCCCAGCCCAGGCTTGGCCTCCTGATCGAGCACCAGGGGCTGGGGTGGTGGGGGGGCTCTCTGGCTCTCTCACCCTTCTTATTCCTGTGTGGCTCTAGCAGACTGCTGCAGACGGCTTCCTCCCGCCTAACCACAGCCTCACCCACCAGGCTGCCTTCACTCTGTTGGCTTCCCCTGCTCGGAGCCCTCTCAAGGCTGAAGGCAGTTATTTTGTCTTTAAGAGATAAAGACGTAGACACGCACAGACACTTGCACATGCACACACACACTCAGAGGCTTTCCAGCCTTTAATCATCTCAATGGCTGGGGAGGCTGCAAGCCGGCCTCTCAGCCACGCAGGTCTGAAAAGGGGGCTCTCACACTCTCGTCTTCTGCAACAGATCCTGAAGCTCAGGGGCTGAGAGGGAAGGAGTCAGAGAAGGATCAAGAGGAGTGTGTGAGTGTGTGTGTTGGAATGTAAGAAGCAAGAAGGCAGCCATGTATGTGGCTGGCCTGGGCAAGGACGGAGGGAGCCCTCGGGGGACAAGACGCAGGGTAGGTGAGAGATCAAGGCCTCAGCACAACTGGGTTTGGGGAGAAGAGAACAAGTTCAAAGAGAGCAGAGGGTGAAGGAGAGCCTGGGGGTAGCAGGTAAAGGAAGGGTGGAGGGAAGCGGGTGAAGAGATGGAGCCCAGGAATGAAGGATGGAGGGAAGACGGACCCAGCTGTCCGTGGTTTCCAAATCAAGCTGTCTGCGGGCTGCCCCTCAGAAATCCTGTTCTCTCCAACTCCGTCTCGTGCAAACGGTCCTACTCTGCCACCACGCCTGTCAGAGACCCTCAGAACGGGGGTCCTTCACCTCTCCTCACCGCACTGGCCGCGGGCCCTTTCCTTCCTCAGTGTACCCCTCTCTGGGAGCAACGCCTGGTAGAGGTCCGCAAGGCCCGGCAGACGCTTGCTCCCCAAAGCAGCCCCACAGGGAGGAGCAGGGTCTGGCAGAAGCCCCCTGGACCGGCGTGCACGGGGATGGGCGCCCACTCCCCGCCGGGCGGCGCTTTCTTTGCAGCCCGGGCATCCCTGGACTCACGCGACACCGTGCTCTCAGCCTCGCAAGTGTCACCACCGCCGGCTGCAGCCCGGAGGACCCCCGCGGTCCCCTGTCCCAGCTCGGGGCGCTCCTCCTTGGGCCCCGACCGTCCGGCCGCGGGCGACGCCGGGCCCTCGGGGTCCCTCGCCGCGCCCGGGACAGGAACCCATCCCCGGCGAGGCGCAGTGGCCGGGTCCCCGCCCCGCCCGATCGGCCGCGCCCGCCAACTTCGCGGGCGAGGGAGGGAGCGAGGGAGGGAGCGAGAGCGAGGGGGGGCCCCTCCCGCCCGCCGCCTCCCGCCGGCAGAGTGGCCCGGCGGCCGCCCGGCCCGCGCCCCCCCGGCCCGGCCTCACCTGGTGCCCTCCCCGCGGCGGGGGAGCTGGGGGCGGCGGCGGCGGCTCGGGGCTCGAGAAGGAAGTGAGAGCCCGAGGCCGGAGGAAGTGGGGGGGGGCGGGCCGGCCGGCCGGGGCGGGGCGCGGGGGCGGGCCGGGGCGGGATCAGGAAGTCCGGGAGCCGCCGCCCCCACCCGCCGCGGGCGCCCCCAGACCCGCGCGTCGCGCCTCGGAGGGCGGCCCCCCCCCCCCAGCTCTCCACCCGGCCCCCGCTGGCAGGAGCCCGGGCGCCGGGCTTGGACCAGCCCCCCGACCCCCGCCCCCGGGATCTCGCCGCCGGGAAGATGCTGCGGGCGGCCCGGCGCCCCCTCCAGCCCCTCCCCCCGGGCCTATCACTGCCGCCCGGGCCGCGAGGGGGCTGGGACCCCACCGAGGCCAGAAGGCTCGGCCTGGGGCAGCCCCACTTCTACCCCGAGCCTCGGGGGAGTGCGGGCGGCGGTGATTCAGCAGTGGGAAGGCCCCTGCCCCCTGGGGAGCGCGGGGAGCCTGGAGTGGGGGGCGGGGAGCTGGCGTCAGCACCCGGGGAAAGACAAGATCAGCAGAGGCGCAGGCGGAGCCGCGAGCCCCAAAAACAGGATGTCGTGTCGTCGTCGTTCCGCACCCTGCGGCCCCGCGCCGCTCGGCTCCGGGGAAGAGGCGGGGCGCACGACGGAGGACGTGGGGCTCCCCGAGCCCCCCTCTTCTCGCCGGGGTGCGCAACTGCTCTGGGCTCGCAGGGGCCGCACCCAGGCCTGAGATCCGGCCCCGGCAGCGGGAACCGGCGGGTGGGCGGGCTCGTGGGCGCCCCCTGGTGCTGCTGCTCGCACGCCCGGCGGCGGGTGCGGCACGGACTCGAGAATCTCCAGCTGGGGTTTCAGACCTTGGCCGCGGCAGACCACGTGTGCGGGGCCCCGAGCCTGGTGCTGATGGGGAAACTGAGAAGGCTGAGCCAGGCTGCCTCGTCTCTAGCAGGCTTTCCAAATGCAGAAGAGCACACCAGGGAGTTACGTAGCTCGACCTTTCTGAGCCTCCGCTGGTCTTTGATAAAATTGAACCGCCTCTGATTCGGTAGTTGTGCAGATAACACGAGAATGGATGTTAAAGGTCAGCTGTCAGCCTCTGGCTCAAAGTACAAATAACTTAAAGAGGAAAAAAAAAGTGTGGGGGCTGGAGAGAAAGCGCAGCAGGTAGAGCACGTGCTTCACAGGCAGTTGATCAGGGCTTGGCAAATGGTCCCCTGAGCCCAGCCAGGAATGACTTAGCCCTGAGCACCGCCAGGTGTAGCCAAAAGCCCAAAGCAACAATTCCCACGAAAGAAAGAGAGAGAGACAGAGAGAGGGAGGGCAGAGGAAGGGAGGATGGAAGGAGAGAGAAGGAGAAAGAAAAGAGAAGAAAGGAAGGAGAAAGGGAGGGAAGGAAGAAAGGAAAGAGAAAATGGAAGAGTCATTTATTTATTTATTTTTGGTGGGGGCCACACCTGGTAGTGCTCAGAGGTTGCTACTGGCTCTGCATTCATGAATCATTCCTGGTGGACTCGGGACCATTTGAGGTGCTGGGGATTGAACCCGAGTCAGTCAGTCACACGTAAGGTAAATGCCCTGCCCCCTAAATTATTGCTCTGGCTCCAAGAAGAGTTTTAAAAATCATGCTAAGATGAGCTCATGATCTGTTCTCTTTCCCTGACTTTTTTTTTTTTTTGAGTGGGGCACACCTGGCAATGCTCAGGGCTTGCTCCTGGCTCTGCACTCAGGAATTGCTCCTGGCAGGCTGTGGGGGATAATATGGGATGCTGGGGATTGAACCCTGCCACATGCAAGGCAAATGCCCTACCTGATATACTATTGTTCCAGTCCTTCTTTCCAGTCCCTCTTTCTTTACTTCTTGTGTTGACAAATTCAATTTGTCTTTCACAATTTTGCCCCAGTGGACTATTTCTTGTTTGGTTTCTATCACCACCCACCCCCCTTTATTTATTTATTAGTGTTGTGGAGTCAGTGCTGAGGGAGTTGCTCCAAACTGTCAAACTGTACTCTGGGGATAATGCATGCAAAGCAAGAGCCTATTGCTTATTTATTGATCTATCTCATTGGCCTCACCATCCCCCCAACAATTTCTCTCTCTCTCTCTCTCTCTGAGCATTGATCCAGAAATATCCCTCTGATCACCACCAGTGTGACTCAAAAACAGCAAAAGAAGAATTTTAAAAATTAATTGGAAGGCTGAGGAGATAGCTCAAAGGGCTGGAGAGCAGGCTTTGCAGGTGGGAACCCCAGGTTTAACCCCCAGCTCCTGGTCTGAGCACCACCTGAAGCAACCCCCAAGCAATGAACTAGGAGTAGACCCAGCACTGCTGGGTTGCTCAAAAACAAAAAACACTGTCCTCCCGTTGTTCATCGATTTGCTTGAGCGGGCCCAGTAACGTCTCCATTTTAAGACTTCTTGTTACTGTGTTTGGCATGTCAAATACGTCACGGGTAGCTTGCCAGGCTTTGCTGTGCTGGAAAGATATGGTGGCTTGCTGGGCTCTCCAAGAGGAGCGGAGGAATCGAACCCGGCTCGGCCGGGTTGGCTGCACGCAAGGCAAACGCCCTACTGCTATGCTATCGCTCCAGCCCAGCTCCAGCTCCAGCTTCAGCTGGGTTGGTCAAAAATAACAAAATATTAATAGAATATTTTTAATTCTTTACTTCCTGTAGTGTTTGAAATCTGCCATGTTTTTTGTTTTTTTTGGTTTTTTTGGGCTCACACCTGGCTCTGCCTCAGGAACCACTCCTAGAAGTGCTTTGGGGACCATATGGGATGCCCAGGACTGAACCCAGATTGTCCACATGCAAAGTATGTGCCTTATTCACTGCACTATTTCTCTGACTCTCCTGTGTCAGAGTCAGATACCTAGAGTACAGCTAAATTTTGTCTGGATGCATTTGAAGTGCTCAATAGCACATCTACTGTACGGACAGTTAAATGTGAATCTTATTCAGGCTGCAACATGACTGAGTAGATGAATTCATTCTCTGGGATCCTTTTAGGGAAGCGTCCGTTGACCCCTAGTCAAAAGTTTGATCTCTCTTTTCACTCCCCACATCACATGCGATGTGCCTACTACAGCAAATCGATGAACAATGGGAGGACAGTGCTACAGTGCTACATCACATGGCGACACACTCCTCTTTGTGGAGGTGAGAAATCAGGAAAGACGGTCAGTATTCTGTCCATGTGTTCCAGGAGGCAAAAGGCAGGTGCTCTGCTTTTGCTGATTCATCTCTGTCTCTGCATGGCTCCCCAAGCCCCAACAGGTGTAACTCTCTGAGCCCTGAGCATAGTTGGGTGTGGCCCTGGTTGTTCTCAGAACCATCAGGCCATGAGCCTTCCATGACTGGCCTGAGAATCACCAGGAGTGACCTTGAGGCCACCGAGCACTGCTGGGTGCTGGGTGTGGCCCTTATTAAAAACAAAATAGTGGGGTTTAATCCCTGGCACTGCATGTGGTTCCTTGAGCATCACCAGGATTATTTCTCCAGCATAGCTGGGTGTGGCCCAAATAAACAAAAACAAAACTCCAACCAACCAAGAAAAAAAAAAACCCACAAAATATGTTTCCTCCCCCAAACGCTGGAAATCTTGGGGTCAGAGCAGTAGAAGTAGGTAGGGCATTTTCCTTGTATGTGGCATCACATATGGCAAACCCAAGCCTGCCAGAAGGGATCCTGGAGGGCAGAGCCAGGAGTAAGGCCTGAAAACATCTGGGTGTATCCCACAAACAAATGAACAACTGAATATCAATTTTAGGAGCACAGTAATAAAATGTGGTGTCCCTATTAGGCATAGTAGGCCTAAGAAGGCAGCTTGGGGTCAGTTTGTATTTCCTGGACTCCAGGCTTGGCGAGTGATTTGACACTGGCTCCCTTTGCTTAGTCAGGTGGGGGAGGGGAGATGTGGATGAGGATCTCATGGGCTGGGGGATGGGTCTGTTTCCTGTGAAGCTACTAGAGGAAGAGGAGGAGGAAGAGGAAAGGGCCATGGGCTGGATACTACAGAGGACCTGAAGTCTAGCTTCAGTTCAGCGAGAAAGGCTTGTGAGGGGCTGGGAAGATGGCACAAATGCCAGAATGCATGCTTTGAACATAGAGCCCCAGCATCACTGGCATGAAGCCCATGTACTGCTGGGTGAGATCCCCTCCCCCCCTGCAAATAACAAGATTAGTGGGATTTTGGGACTTGGTCTTAGACTCCTCCACTGGAAAACAAGGCACTGAACCAGATGATACCTTTGCAATCTGACCTATGATCCACTCTTCAGAATAATAATTAAGTCATTAAGGTTATGCATGTAACATATTGCTCATAGTTTTTTTAGTACCGTTTAGGTCATCTTACTTTATGCATAGTTAATTGTGTCTGTATCTAATGTCTGTCTCCCTCACTGACTATAAGCCCTTTGAGGTTGTGGCTGATTCATCTCTGTGTCCACCCATGGGACCTAGTACAGGCAGGCCTGGGCACACATTTGCCTTCAGTATTCACCTGTGGAGTTAAGTTACTTCATAAAACATTAATATGTGTAGAATCATAAAAGCCAGGGGGGCTGGAGCCACTTTAATGGCACACAAGTAGGAAGGGCACCTACGGCCAGAAGATCCGGAGATACAGGCGGGCAGGTGGGGTCATCTACAATGGTTTCTGGGAGAAGGAGGAGGCTGAGCTGAAAAAGGCACAATCCCAGATGTGCTGTTTCCTCATAACCTC